TGTGTTATTTCAGCCACCAAAGAAGATGACTGCAGCTCAGAAGAGTCTTGCTAAAGCAGACAAAACTGGCATGAAGAGCTTGGCATCGTTCTTCAGTCCAAAAGTCAAACAAGAGAAGAACTGAGTGAGTGAGTGTGAGTTTGTGTGTGTCAAAACATTTTTGCTAATAAAATAATAGAAAGGTTTTCTACTGTTTCTTTCTATTTTTTTGCTGTTCATCGTGTGCTGTGCAATTCTGTCCAATATATATTTTTAAAGAAGTCTGTCTAAGGCTGCAGTTTCTTTATAATTAAACTATATATTGTAAAATCTGTCATTTAAATCAACTAGTTTCTGTTTCAAAGCTAAAATAGATCAAATGTACATTATTCCTGTTATGAAAACTAAAGACTGCAGTGTCGTATGATCTTCAAGAAATAATTCAACTATGCTAAGTTAGAAACTATTATAAGTTTAAAATGAAAATAATTAAATAATTAACATGAAAATAATGTAACAATAAAAAATTGTTATAACTAGGCATGGGACGATAACCGGTTTTAAGGTTTATAACCACAAAGATTTTCTGTTATACTGTTTCTAAGGTATGTTTACATGTATATGTTTTTTCTGTGTAGTAAAGAAATCTGCGTCTTGTAAACTAATGAACCTAGCAGAAGTCATTGATTTATTTGAATTATTTGGCCTGACATGTTTACTGTTCCAAAACATTATAAATGTGAATTGTAAATTAAAAAATTGTCAAATTAAATACTGTATACAGGGTTTCTGTGGGGTCTTAAAACATCTTAAATCTCAAAATTTTAGGCCTTAAAAAGGGTCTTAAATTTACTGAAATATTGTGTTGTAGGTCTTAAATGTTTTTTAAACAAGTCTTAATTTTCCTTTGTTTATGTATTGCTACCCAATCTGGCCCATACAGCCCATGCAATCACCAACAATCCACCTCAATAAAACTTTGAACCTTTTATTAAAAAAGGTCATTTTTAACTATCTTAATGGTTTAATTATTTTTCATACACTTATGCAATTTGTTTTAAAGTGCTCCATGTATTTACTGGGCAGATTGTTGTGCATAGATTTATATCATTGTAGTTTTTAAAGCTTTTAAAACATTTATTATTTTTGTTATTTTAAATAAAGTTTATGTTGGAAAAAGTAGAGCTACATTTGTTTTACGCAATATTTAAAATATTTTGCTAAGAAATGTGTAAAAGATTTAAATGTATTATTATTCATTTATTATCGTATTATGAAATGTATTACATTTTTTTTTTTTTTTGATACGGCAAATAAAAGTCTTCTCCATCTGGGCCTTTAAAAAAATTCCTTGGCTTTTAGCCCTTTATGATTCTAAAATTTCATTCATAATGGTCTAAATGTCTTAAGTTTTAAATTTAACTTGGTGAAACCTGCAGAAACCCTGTGCATATTGTGTTTAATAGGGAAAAATGTGTTGATTTTTTTACTAAGACATTTAAAGATAACTTATTTCAGTAATCGCAATACCATGAAACTGATATTTTTATCCAAGGTTATCATACCATCAGAATCATATACCAGCCTATGCCTAGTTGTAACAACATAAAAACGTATACTGTAAATTTTTATAATAATTTAATTAATGTTTTTTAATAAGTAATTTCTTATATGTTGGTAAATTATTTAGTTATTATCTATTTATTTGTTTTAAAGGCTCATTGCACCTGTTTTCGTGTTGTTGTACTTTTTAATTATATTCTATAGGGGGAATACCCAATTCCTGCTTCCTTTTTTTCAGAAGAAGAGAGCAGCCCTTTTTAGCTCTGCATTGAAACACATGCACCTAGTTCCTCTTTATAGATTTTAATGCTAAAAACACAAGTACAAATGCATCACTCTTAAACAATAGTTTTCACAATTATTGATAAAGTTGCAGAAATTTTCACAATCATCATAAACGGTCATAAAAAATGGTTGCACAAACCTACCAATTAAGGCACTAGTATAGGTTTGATGGTTGTCATGGAAAGAAATACTGTTATTTCATCCCCATCCCCAGAGTTTTACTGTAGTACATCATAGAAATAGTTGTGTTTTGCATTTTAAATCATCTCACCAATCAAAACTACTAGCTAAATTCTAAGCTAAATTCGTAGACCCTGTTTACACCTGGTGTTAAAAGGATAAAAAAAAAAAAAAATTCCAAAAATGAAAATCACCTTACATTGACTCTCCTTCATGTGACTTTTAAATCTATTTGAGTTTCCTTCTTCTGTTGAATGCAAAAAAATAAAAAATAAAATAAAGAATTGCTGGTAGTCGACACTAATTTACTTCCATAATAATTTTTTTCCTACTGTTAAAGTTGATGGGTCTCAGAAACTAGCATTCTTCCAAATATATTTGTGTTAAACAAAAGAAAGAAACTCATAAAGGTTTAAAAGTCACATGAGTTTGTTAATGTAAGGTAATCGTCATTTTTGGGTGAACTATCCCTTTAAGAGGCATTTTCGTCAATCCAGTAGCAAAGTGGTCTGTATCATTTTAAGCTTACCCACTCTTCTAGAGGCAGCTGAAAATTTTCAATGGATTTTTGAACAATTTTAAACATTTCAATGGAACATTTCAATGGATTGCTTTCAAAGTAAAACGCTCATGAGGTTGAATGTTCAAACAGCTAATAAACTCCTCTTTGCTTATGGGCCTTAAATATTACAGGAAATATTGAAGTGCACTAGCCTAATGGGATTTAAACAGTCTGAATATGTTTACTTGAAAGTAGGCATGGGTCGGTATAAGATTCTGATAGTATGATAACCTTGGATAAAAATATCACAGTTTAATGGTATTGTGATTACTGCTCTAAAAACATTTAAAATATTTTGGAGCAGTAAACATGTCAGGCTAAATAACTCAAATTAACCTTTGAGTTCTGCTGTCTTCATAAATTTCTAAAAGATTTTCACAGATTTCTTTAAAATTTAAAATACCATTTTTGGATATTTTTTCTGCTGGAGATACTGTTGTCCTAAAAACTAAAAAAAAAAGAAAAAAAAAAAAGAAAATGTTGCCGATTTTAAAACCTTGACTTTTCCTAATTGCAGAAAACTTCCAAAACGCTGCATGCCTATTTGAAAGGCAAAAAAATAGCATAAAGTATGATGTTCTCTTACAATTCTGACTGCAACAAACTCAAAGCTTTTAATGTAGTTTTGCAGCTAACGACACAAACAAATGTGTCGTCCCCTTTCATGCTTTAACGTAAACTGTGCAAGCTTATTTTGCAATATTACACTAAACGTTCAGAAAAAAAATACACAAAAAAATTGTTGAAGTGGAAAAAAAAACATCAAAACTCCAGGTGTAAACAGGAATTTGTCTCCCTTACCTATCACAAATCAACAAAACACATCTTACCTTATGTTTAGCATCATTCATCCAGACTTTCCATGAGTCATAGAATTTTGAAAGGTAAATTACAGACATTAAAAAAGAGGGAATTTTTTGGGAATCATTGAGTATTAGGCATTGTTGTTGTTGTTTTTTTGCTTTAAACCAGGACTGTACCTGTAAACGAAGCAAACATGCCAGAATAATAGAAATTTCAAGAGTTTTAGGTAAAAAAAAATAGATAAAATATGAATTGCTCTCATATTACTGGCTCAATTATGTTATTAGCAGGGCTTGACATTAACTTTTCTGATCACCAGCCACTGTGGCTTGTAGTTTTCCAACATTACTAGTCACTTGCCTTTTACACTAGCCACAATTTTGTTGCCGGGAAAATATATTTTATTGCATCAATTTGACTTTGGCATGCTAAAAATGACAAATTCCTGTTATGTCAACATGCCTCGTCGTTAATTTAACTTTTTTTTTTCACATGACTTTTTAGGACTCTAAACAAATTATTTTCTTGCAACAGATTTTTAATAATGTTCCAAAACAAGCTAAATATAGATGCATACACTTTTTATCCAACAAAAATTTTATAAAAAAAACAAAAAAAAAAAACAATAATTGACATTTAAAAAAATTATTGTCATTTATCTAAAACTAACACAGTAATTTGTCCAGGCTAAAGGTCATATATCATCAGGTAACCATAGATAAACGGAGAGTTAATCTCCTATTAAAGCAATGCTATTGTAAAGAATGATAATCAAACCATAAATACAAATAAAACTAAGCAGAAGAAAGCAGGTGAAAACCATTTTGTCTTTGATAATGAAAGGATGACTAATCATGTGCACACAGTTACCGTTAGGCCCAGTTATAATCTGTTCAAAGAATGGTAAAAGCAAAAGCGGCAACAGCTGCGGCTTACATAAAATCTGGAGGCAGCTCTGGCAACTTAAAAATTATTTTCAACCAGTAAAAGTGGCTGGTGGGGGTGTCTATCTAACCCACCACAGCTGAAATCTACCTGCATTTGACGGGTGTTTATGTCAAGCCCTGATTATTAGTATACAAGCACAACAGCAGCCTCTTATACGTTCAATAAATGTAATGTAAATTAAGCTTTTTAGTCAGTGAAGTCCAGGAATTTGATATTTGGCTTAAAGCGGGAACTCTGTTCATCTGTCTGATTATTTAAATAGGCTATCAGGTCTGTGTTTATGATGACCTGAGTTCAATACCTGCCTCACACTGATCCTACTTCCCACTCTCTACCCCAGCTTTCCTGTCAAATATCTGTCCTATCTGCAAACGAGATAAAAATATAAACGTTTGTGTGGAATCAGTGCGCAGGATGATCGCTCCACATCCAGCAGAGTGGTTATGCTCTGGTAATGGCTTTAAGCATTTGCTATCAAGAGCTACTGAAAGAGAGATTGTGATCTGCTGTGGATAATTTATGAAGCTCAGGATGTGAGTAAGCGCTGACAGTATTCACAGAGCTCACATCCACCAGGGATTCATTCAGGCTATTCCTCAATACTTCTAGCAACTCCGTCTCCTTGATCACACTGTGATTGTTTATGTCCTCTAGGCACAAACAGTGTTTCTTTGAGCAGCTAGTCTTTCTTCTTGAGCTTGGGTTTAAAGCGTAGCGTCTGAAAGGCACTTTCCACCACTTTGGGCAGGTGAATAGGGTTTCGTTGCAGGCATCTCCTGCTGCCTGTGCTTCCCATGTCCCCTTTCCGCTGGGCTGCCTTCCCGTGACTGATATTTATTTTCTTGGGCTGCGACTCCAACATGGAGATTCGACGAGGGTCCCGAAGCACCCAGTTGGAGTGAAGATCATGGTCACTGGTACTGGTTGCCACTAAAGAAATGTTCAAATGTAGATGTAGGATTAGACTGATGGATGAACAATGAATGGAACAAACAAAAGTTGACATTTCTAGTTGACCAACATGTTTCCAGTAAGGGGAAACACTCTCACGAGTATTCACGAGTATAGGATTTGAATGCAATCATAGTGAGAATGTAATAAGCTCTACTATCACCTATAAAGTCGACGTCTGCATGGCCGTTGTCCACATGTGGTTTTCTGCTGGGCTCCGGGTCACAGCTTGCGATCACTTCATCAAAGAACTGGAGCGTGTCTTCTTCATTTGGCATTGGTGGAGCAGAAGGTACAGGCCGTGAAGTCTGAAATACAGTTCATTATATTTATTGCTAGTTTACTTGGTTCTGTCAAGATTTTTGTTATTTCTAGAACTAATGAAGCTCCAAAAACTATTGTAAATCCTTAAAATTAATAGTTTCTCCACATAATCCAGTTTTAGAAGAAAGCAGCCACAAAGTTTAGGTAATTTAAAAGCTAATATTTTTTTCAGTCCTTCTGTACAGAATTTTTTTCTCTAAAAAAAAAAAATAAATAAATTTCCTCAAAAGAACTTTTTTTTACAGGATTGTGAATATATGCAACCAAATAAATAGACACATTACAATAATTCAATAACATATACATTATATTATAATGTGCCTGTTACAATGCATCTATACATACATTAATGTACCTTATAGCAAGTGAAATTGAGTGTAACAAGTTTATATATAAAAAACAAATATTGTCAGGCATATTAAAAAACTAATTTTTTTTGCATCCCAATGTATAGCTTTAAAATACTAAACTAAATTTCATATTCTTTAAAGCACGGTGATATTACCAATTATCAGCTTTCATTTATAATTTTAGACAGAGCCAAAAAGACAAACCACAATCATATTGTCCACTATCAACAAGATGCTTTCATTTTTCATTTTAGACATAAGTCCTTAATTATTTTTTAGGCTTCAAATAATAATCAGTAAATAGGCTATCTGTCTCAAAACGACGCTGAATGACCACACATTTTACCTGTATTTTGACTTTTCCCACAAAAGTTATTTAAAACAGACTCCTGTATCTAAAATATTTTCCATGTGTGTAAGATAAAACAACTAAACAAATACGATAGAAATTTTAAAAGTCTAATTTGATGAAGACAAAAATGCTTGTTACCCACAGCAGTAGTCTCACCTGTGGTGCGCTGCTCTGCGGTGGCCGCGGCGCTGCATTCTTCTTGCGGGACGCGGTTTCTTTACGCTCCCCGTCCTTGAGGTCATTAATGCTCTTGGTGTACTGACGCCTGAGCGCCACCAGCTCCTGTAAGTATTCTAGACAGTCCTGGTTCTGGGAGTAGAGCCACACTCGGTCCTCTCGGCTCTGGTAATAGTAGAGGGCGGTGCTGGACTCCACACTCACGGCGCTCACGCTCCGCTTCAGCGTCGAGTCCCGCAGCGCGCGACTGCTCTCCCCGACCACGAGCATCGACGTGCTCCGGACCAACTTCACGGTGCACGCGCTGTGATAGTCCTCAGTGGACCTGAACCTGTCCCGAGAGCGAGGCGCAGGATGGTTCGGCCGAAAAACGGCGTTGATTTTCTTAAACATCACGCTGGGTGCCTGGTTGTCGCAATTTAGTTGTTAAATAGCTGGGATGGAAACCGAAGGGATGTTGGTTCAAAGCCCAAGAGGGTGCTAGCATCGTGCTCATCAAATTGTGACTTGCCAGCTTGTTTTATAATAAATCTAGCCTATATAAATACCTTGTTCCTATAAGACGATCAGATTGTTTTCTTTTTTCCATGTCCCTCTTCACTCTCCTCCCCGTAAAAAACTTACTTCATATCTTCTTTAGGAAACAGAATTCTTGTCCATGGTGCTGAACTCAAACTCGCTATTTTACATTTTACAGACAGTCGGATGCCTGTTTCTTATTCGTATGGAAGCAGTCATTGTAGGTTTGAAACGCGGCCATGGCAACTGTGCGCTTGCAACTCTACACTAACAAATTAATTATTGACCAAACTTAGACATATTAGACTACACACATGTGCTGGTCACCGCTGTTGCATAACATTAGGGTTGCATGCACGAAGATGGTTTTCTTAGAATGTTTATGTATACGCATAATTTCTGGACGCTATGTGGATTATGGTTAAATTTACGGTAGCCTATATCTAAAAGTAGCCGACTTGTTTTCTTTTTCAGCACAACAGAAAGACTTGGGTTATTGAGCTATAGAACATAAAAAGGATTCAAGTTTTATCCTTTACATTAAACTAGCGGTTTTTAAAACCTACACCATTTTGAGGGACCCAAACAAAAACAATGGTCCCAACGTATTTCCTGTTTTACATTTAAAATCTCTATAGCTTCCCACAATCAAAAAAGAGACACATTGATAAATAAAATTATGATAGCTGTTTTAACATTGAATTGCCTGATTCAGGAGATGTTCATGGGCCAATGACATGACAGCAGTGATATGGTCTATAGGCTACGTGTTAGTGTCTTTTTTATTAATCAACAGCCCATAAATAAAACTTTTAAGCCACAAAGGTTTTTATTTTTAGATTTATTTTTGTATATCATATTTATAATATCATTTATTTTCAAAACGATCATTTGCAGAATCACTGATCAAATGCCACTGTCTCACAGTGTCTTCTCCTTTTATCTGTCTAGCTCATTGAGTCTCAGTGGAGATCTGCAGTAGAGGAGTGCTGATCTCGCTGGACTGGTATGTGCTGGTGACTCTGAGCAGGCAGCTGAGCAGCATGTATTAGAAAATGATAAATTAATAAAAAATTAAATGTTAAACTTGAGTAAGCTACTTGAAAAATAAGTGGCCATATAACAGAGCACAGAGGGTTTTGCGGAAAGCAACCTATAAAAGTATGTCTAAATAAAAAACTATTTTTCTAACTAAATATCCTGTATTTGTGCAGAATAAACAGATGCACATAAAATTTGACATAAAGCTTACAAACTAAAGTTTTAAGTAGGTAAAATTTAGCAAATTAACAATATTAGGAGAACATTTCTTTTTAATATAAAGCAACCCACAAATTGTTTTCAAACATTATTTTACACCTAATTATAATATTCAATATTTGTAATGTTCTTACAGTATTTGATGTTAAAAGACTTAAAACATTTATGTTAAAGAAAAATGGGAAAAGTAATTTTATTATTTTGAAGGAAGAATGGTTGGACATATGTAGATTTACATCAAAATGTACCATCTCACATATGTGGAGAGAACTTGGATGGAAATGTCTAATAAGATTTTTCACCACACAAAATCAAAGCATAAGTCACAGGAAAGGACACTAAGTGCTGGAGACAATGTGGGTCTCAGGAACCTAATCACTGGCACATTTTTTTTTTTTTTTTGGGAATGTTCAGTAATAAAACAATTTTAGGAAGTAGAAGTACATGGAGTAATAGATATCATACTTAATATTACACTACCCTTTCATTCATGGTTATTTATTTTGGAAGCTCTGATATCCAAATAAGTAAATAAAATAAGTAAGTAAAATTTTTAATATTTTAATAATTGCAGCCAAAAAAGCAATTACAAGACACTGAATCACCAAAAATCCAAAACAGGCCAGACATAGTGTATGATATTTATGTGATGAAAAATTACATTCACCCTTTGACTTCAAATTAATGCATTTAGAAATATCTGGTCTAAGTTGACTGAATACATTACATTGCTCCATTCAATCTTTGTCGAAATATTACAAAACATTACTATAAAAAATTATTATACAGTAAAATATTACTATCTAATTCCCATCCACAGAACAAATTTTTCTCAATTCCACTCCCTCTCTTAACCCTCTCTTTAAATTAGGAATTAACATTTTATAATAACTAAAGTTGAGGAAATAAATAAAGATTTGACCCTCTCTGACCCATGTATATTTAGTCATTGATATTATTTATGTTATCATATTGTAGTTACTGTTTTCATATTTATTATTATTATTTTTTTATTGTCTTGTTTGTAAAAAAAAAAAAAAAAAGTTTAGTAATGGGATATGTACAACATCTTAAGTGAAATCTGTATATCTTGCTACTATAAACAAACAAAAAATAAATAAATAAAAGACTCAAAAACCCTTAGATTGCATCATAAAAGAACCACAAATAAAACCAGTTTTTTAATACAACCAAAAAAAGGACTGTACTATTCATAATAAAAATATACAGAAATTAATCTATAAATAAATACAATATATCGTTTTTCATCTGCATATCTAGATAAATGCATACAGTGAAATGTTTGATGAATACAAAGCTAAACAAAACTAGAAAATGTGTTTAGTTATTCCTTTTTTCTGCTTGTTTAGTAGTTCAACAAATAATAATTTTACTCGTAAGTCAGATCATCACATTAATAATGCATGTAGGTGATTCAGCATTTAGTCACTGACCTACTAGCGATTAACCAGCACTAATAACTATGAAGTGTGTTCAATCTACATGTCTACCAGTGGATTCAATTACATTCGAATTTGATGCTTTAGTTTCAAAGGGGAAATGAAGACTCACTGTTACGTAATGATTTGAACAGCTGCAGCTGCAAATGTCGATGTTTGAGGAAATATGCTACCTTTTTCAGTCTAATGAAACTGCAAAATATAACAGCTGCACAATGTAGCATGAGAGAGCTTAAGAAAAAAGATAATAATAATAAATACAGTCCTTTTAGCATAGCATTAGTACTCTAGAACAGGGGTTCCCAAACTTTTTAGCCCACAACCCCCAAAACAACAATGCCTGTGACTTGTGACTGCCAATATCCTCTGAGGTGATTATTAATATATAATTCTTGCACACAACGGCACACATATACCATAAGCCCAAGTCTATTCATTATTTAATTTTGGAGAACGCCATTTGGAGACCATCCTTCATGTTCAGTTGTGGCCTGTATTTATTTTTAATCTATGTGAGTGTCGTAAAGGTGTCAGAAAGTTTAACCTGGTGCCATCAAATCAATGTGCTGCATCTGACGCTATTTCTGTCTTTAATATAACTGAAACACCCAAGCAGTCGCATGGCTTTTTATTTGCATGTTATTTTTTTATGTTTATTGTTAACAATGTTACTATTATCTACAATTTTTCCTGTAGGTTGTGGATAAAACATGGTAATTTGAATAGTTTAGATTTTTGGAAATCATTGTCCCCTGACCCCCACTTTAGGAACCACTGCTTTACAATATAGTATATCTGTTTCAGACTCTTGATTTCAAGTGAATATTCTCTCCATCAGTGACATTACAGAAAGAGGAAACCCAGGGGGAAATCACCATAATTAGTGTCATAAGCTTGTGTTTAGGAATACAGTACCAATAGAAAACTATGACTATAATAGCAAACTAAAATTTAAGGTGAACTCAATGACTCATTTATGCCTATTGTAATGAATATGGGGCACATATTAATGCAGCTGAATATAATTGTGTTTCTGAATTTACATGGAAGACAGAATCTAACTCGGTTTCACTTCCTCCTTCAGTAAAGCATAAAAGTGAGGATCGATAGCACAAGTTTCACTGCAAGCACTGAGAGAGAGAAAACCAGACCCCGAAACACCTCTGATCAACATCCAGAGACTCTTCTGTAGGAAAACGGTAAATTTCAGGGTACTTTTATATGTCTCTCTGTCAGTCAAGCGTAATCTAGGGGGTTATAGTTAATGTGGCAGACCTGGAATATCTGAAAATCTTATTTGTTTGTTTCATAGTAAACTGTGGAAAATGATGATGATGCAAAAGTCTCATATACTCACTTTATTTTGTGCCAGGTGGACAGTAATGTAATGTAATGCAATGCAATGTATTTTTTATTTAATGCCATGTCAGCAACCAAGGCTATTTTCATGGCAAGAAAACAAATGAATGATTTTTAGTACTAATACATGATTCTACAAATTTTCCTTGTGCCACTTTGCAATAATCGTTCTTAAGACAATTAATTTCATAAAAAAGTCTTCTGGAATCAATAAAAGCAGGACAGTCCAGTGAAATGTTTTACTGTGAGAGGAATTAAGTAGTTTAAACACATTGAATAGGGTCTTAACCTTTGAGCAAAAAAACATGGGTTTGCCAGGTGAACTAAGTAAAACAAATGGTTAATAAATGTACTCTCACAGAAATGTTATGAAATAGTTCCTCAATTTATAATTACTTTTCTATTTAATCTACATTTTGAAACTAAACACTGTTGCATCTCAACCAGCGGGGTCAGGCTCACTAAGTGGGACTGCTTTAAATACTTAGTGAATATATAGCAATAATTACAATCACAAACTTGAATTGTGGTAATTAAATAATTATTTAAATTTAATTAAAGGTTTAAAATATTTAATTAACTACAACTTATTTCTGTGAATGTTAATAAATGCTATATCAATGAAAACTTTCGAACTTGATTAAGTTAAACTACTACTTTAGTGAATAGGTTAGAATCAATCATGTTGAGAACCACTGTTTTAGTGTACATAATGGAGTAAAATAAATTCAGAACCACTGATTTAGCTGACATGCAGAGACTGTGTGCTTCAAAACAGTGGCTCTTGCCTTTTCTGACCCCAGTGTCAATTAATTCAGGGTTCTTGATCTGTTTGGCTCCACTATGTCCATCAAAATAGTGGTTCTAAATCAGGTGTGCAGAAACTCGGTCCTGGAGAACTGCGCTGCAAAAAATGCTTTTCTTGCTTAGATTTTTTGTCTTGTTTCTAGTCTAAATATCTAAGATTTCTTATATTAAGAGGCATTTTCTAGACAAGCAAAACATATTATCTTGCTTTGAGAAATTATATGCCAATATTAAATGAGTTTTTCCTTAAAACAAGCAAAATAATCTGCCAATGGGGTAAGCAAATTAATCTTGTTTTTTCTTTTGACGTAAGATTATTTTGCTTACCCCATTGGCAGATGTTTTAGATTGTTTTAAGGAAAAACTCACTTAATATTGGCATATTATTTCTGAAAACAAGACAATATGTTTTTCTTGTCTAGAAAATTCTCCTTAATTTAGGAATTTTTAGATGTTTGGACTAGAAACAAGACAAAAAAAATCTTGTTCTTGACCATTCTGACTCCACTTTATCCACTAAAAGTGCTTTTTGACTTATTCTCCTCCACTATTGACATTTTTTCCTGACAAGAACTGGCACGGTCATTGTAACCTAATTGTGTTGAGATTTCTTTTCTCAATCGCTTCCTTTTAGCTGTAAAAACAGCTCATTGCACACTGCTAGTTTCTTAATATATTATTTTTATTTTAAAATGCATTGTTATACACACTGGTTTGTAGAAGTGGTTTAATTTACAAATCCCTTCAGGATTTTGTAAATCCAATGATTATTTTTGTGTATTTTTAAAGAAAAACAAAAGAATTGAAGAAAATAATCCCATAAAATGCCATTTTAAGAAAAGCCATCATAAAAAGAGCCCTTCAGGCCACAAATATAATTTAAAAAGTGTCCCTGGCAAATCCAGGAGTCACTTACTTACTGATTTATTTATTCCTAATCATTCAGCCGTATGCAAATTAATCAGAAGTCCTAAAAACATTCACAGAAAAGCTTACTTCCCCTTTGAAAAATAAGGTGATTGCCCACTAAGTCAGTAAGTGCATATAGTATAGTCAAAAAGACTGAGAACCAATATTTTATTGCGACCTGATATAACTTCAGTATCTGTGCACTCTAGATGCTGTGTGAAGGAAAGCTCTGGAGTCTGGCTTTTGAAGCTGAAGCCGAGTGTGTAAATCCTCCTTCATGCACCACAGTCACAGAGCCTTCCTCAACTTCACCAAATAATCCCCTCTCAGCTCAAATCCCCGTCCACTCAGCTCCAGAGGTCCATGCTAATATAACCCAGATGAAAACCCAGAGCTACCCTCACCCTTCCTCTATGGCAGGACATGGTGTGGATATCCCCAGGCATGTGGACACCCCAGAAACAGAAGCATTTTTGGTGCCTTCGAGCTGCCACAGCATTTGCCAGCATTACAGCGATTTACACATAGCAGGCGGTCAGGTGTTGCCGCTCAGTCCCCATTCAGGAGACATACAGGGCCATCACAGCCAGGATCCCCAGCCTGGACCCTTTCTTGTGTCTGGAGATGTTCCCTCACCCTCCCTCTTACCTCCTCTGGTCCACGAGTACAGGAGCTCGAGGCGATGGAAGGAAGAAAGCGGGCGTGAGCGTCCCTCTCTCCTGCAGTTTAGCCGGCCGCTCTCCAACTCTCAACTTAACGGCTATCTTGAGCAGAAGCTTCTAGAGCTGTACAGACAGTACCTGACTGAGGGACCGGCTGTTAGCAGGCCCGTCATGGCCTCTGAGCTTCTGCAGACCAGCCTGGACCAGATGACCCTCCAGCTAAGCCGAGAGCAGAACATGGAGACGGCAAGAGCAAAAGACATGCTGCTCAGCTGCCTGCTCAGAGTCACCAGCACATACCAGTCCAGCGAGATCAGCACTCCTCTACTGCAGATCTCCACTGAGACGCAATGAGCTAGACAGATAAAAGGAGAAGACTGACTGTGAGACAGTGGCATTTGATTAGTGATTCTGCAAATGATCGTTTTGAAAATAAATGATATTATAAATATCATATACAAAAATACATCTAAAAATAAAAACCTTTGTGGCTTAAATGTTTTATTTGTGGGCTGTTGATTAATCTGAGTTCCCACAGTCGGTACCCTAGGCAGGGCTGCACAATATTGCAGTTTTTCTCAGATATATATTGCGATATCATTGATCCAGATGGTTTAAAAAGCTGTGTTTGCATGGATTTCATTCATTTAGATGGTTTGGGGTGATTTTGTAGGGGTGAGAATCATGGATCAAATGTAATACACAAATTAGCACATATGTATATAGTATAGCAAAGATAAAAGTGTAATAGTCAGTGCTTTATTGTTTACTGCAAGTCAAACATTACAGAAATTGAATGATGAAATGAAAAACAACACTGCATAGTATAAATTATTCAATAAAATTAATCGCTATTAAAAGTAAAAAATTGTACAATTTATTGTGCCTGCATGTTTTAAATTCTCTTGAAATGTTCATTCATGTGTTGGGCCTGGCAGAATCTGCATACATTTATTGATATTTCTGCACAAACATTTGTAAAAAATCTGTAGATTTATGTGGAATGATTTTAGGAGTATCGTAACTAAAACCCTAATATATATATATATATATATATATATATAAAAAGCTTTTAAACTTTTATTTACTGTTTACATTGCAAATCCAATTAGATCCACTTATTTGATAAAGCAAGTCTCTCATACTAAAAGACAGAGAAGGTGACTTTACAAACTGTATTGTAGGTAAATCATATGTGTTTTTTTAGTTAGTATTATTACTGAAATTAATTTAAAAACTGTATAAATCTAAAATTTACACACATTTAAACACGTAAATAAATAGACTCATAGATGAGCTAAAAATCTGAGGAAATCTACAAATTTCTGTGTATGCTGATTCCGTAAGGGCCTCGTCATAAGCCTTACACATCAAAATTATTCACTTTCATTCTGTTATGGTTAAACCCTGCAGTGACCACAAAGCTAATGCATTCTGATTTCTGAATATTGCCATACGCACAATGTTGAAACAATATATAGTCCATCTCTATTGTACTATCCATAGTACAAGTAGACTAAAGTATTACTTGTGCAACCTATAAAAATACTCCACAAATAGATGACTTGACAGAAATTGAAATATTTCTAGTGAACATCAAATAATTATAAGCTTTATAATTCTTTATCACCAAGACTTTACGAATGTGCTATTAATTTTAGCTAAACTTTTGGTCTCTTCAAAAAAAATAGTGCATACAACTTCAGCTGATGCACCGAAACAAAACTCACTCTAGAAGTTACTAAGAAGTTCTTGTCCAAGCTTTGCTTCACAACAAACCATTGTTTTCTTTTGAGGTTTCCCTTTTTCTTTTAGACGTTTATATGAGATTTGAAATAGTTAATAATACTGAAAAACCTATTGTCACAGATTACACAAATGTGATTTTAAAATAAACATTTGCTTTTCCTGACTGTATTAGAGCTATAAACATGACATCATTTACACTTAAAATGCATGTATTCCTTTTAATAGTCGCAGCATCAAGGTCACAACATTTGTCTATCAATTAACAAACAGAAGAGTCAGTGTTAAATCAAAACATTTATTAAGTTGGAGTTAAAAAACAACAGTCCACTTTTTTTGAAAATAGAGTTGTAAAATGCTTAATCCTAACAGAATCCATTCAGCTGATCTCTGGGTGTGGTGGGAGCACTTTTAGCTTAGCGTAGATCATTAAATAAAATTAGAAAATTAGCATCTCGCTCAAATTGAAAAAAAAAATTCAGGCCACAAATTTAAAAAAGGGTCCCTGCAAAATCCTGGAGGACTGACTTACTGATTTATTCCTAATCATTCAGCCATATGCAAATTAATCAAAAGTTCTAAAACATTGACAGAAAAGCTTACTTCACCCTTGAAAAATAAGGTGATTGCCCACTAATTTAGTACCAATACCCAAAAAGTTCTGATAATTTTTTTCCATTTAAAGCTTGACACTTCTATAGTTACATCATGTACTACGACTGACCAGCAGAAAATGAAAATTTGCTATTTTCCAGGCCACTATGGCTAGGTACTATACTAGTACCCGTATAGTATAGCACCATGGCTGCAGCAGGTGCAATGATATTGCGCAGTGCGACTGGCACACGTTCCCTGTGCAAGCAGGTGGTCACGTTGGAAGTTACCCAGCTGGGGACTATTTTCAGGCACTGCATAATATAATTGTGCCTGCTACAGTCATGGTACAAAAGCAAAGATCCTTGATTATTTAATAAAAATATAGTTGTTCCGATATCAACCTAGAAAATAGCACCTTTTCATTTCCATTTGGTCTTAGAAAACAATGCAACCACAGAACAGTTTTGATTTTTGAGCGAGATGCTAATGGTTTAATCCGATTCAATAGTCTATGCTAAGCAGTGTTGGGGAAGTTCGATTACAAATGACTGATTACTACTGGAAAATTGGAATTTGATTACATTACTAATTACTTCATGTAAAAAGTAATCAGATTACCAATTACTTTACTCTGAAGTTACTTTTAAAACATAAAAAATATACCTATAAAAATACTAAATATACTGCAGCTCTTTCAGTAATTTAATATTACAATGGGTTGATCATAGAAGCTTGACATATTCAAAATAGCTAAAGAGATGGTTCATCATTCACTTGTTCCAAACCAATTTGTCTTTTTTTTCACTGACATCCATAGTATGAAATAGCACTGCAGTGTTCTGTGTTTGTCTAAGGTAATTAGTCTACCATAAAGTGTATATTCCTTACAAAGTATGAAGCTGATGGGTCAGTTTGTGTGTCTGGGAAATAAAAGCAAGCACAATATACACAGGATATGTGAACGGCCCCATAAGCAGCTACGCTTCTATTCACACAGAGAAGATACCTTCACTCCCGATCCTGCACAAATATCCAATTTAGCCTGTTTCGGCTGAGTTGGGCCGATGTGTTTCTGGGTGCCAGTGTCCTCCTTGGTGACGAGTATTGTTTTAGAATGCTTTCTGTTAAGTTACTAGTCGAGTTAAAAGCAGTCGAAAGTTCTTTAGAAACTGCACATAGGCTGAATTTCACAACAATATTTTTGTTTTTATGCTTAATGATATCAAAGTGATGTATTTCCACTTGAAGTAGCCGCTCTCGACAGCAGCTATTTCAGCTGCCGTTCTCTAGGAATTCAAAAGCACATGCTTATTAACTGATGCTGCAGTTGAAAACATGATTTAAAATAAGCTTTTTTCTTCTAAATATTATATATATGTAATGTAAGTAACACAATTACATTGACTTTAGTAACTGTAATCAAATTACATACATATAAAAGGGAATTCGTTACACTACTGTGTTTTTCAAAAATGTATTTTGATTACAGTAACGTGTTACTGTGGAACGAGTTACACCCAACTCTGATACTAAGCTAAGCTGAAAGTGCTCCACCAGACCTGGAGATTGGCTGAATGGACACATAGGTGATAAAACTGCTAACCGTTTAACTCTAAAAGTCTATTTTCTAACAAAGTGGAGTGTTCCTTTAAGATGAATAAAATAGCCCTACAGTAAAACTTTTTTTTACTGTAGAATTTACTGGTAAGATCTGTAGGGGTGAAATGTTACAGCCTGTACCAAAAAAATTTCAAAAAAAATTCTATTTTTTTTTTTTTTTTACAAATTTCATATTCACAAAAGCAAGTTTTGTAAGTGCAAACCTTTTTTCCCCCTAAATTTAAAATTGAAATGAAAATGTATATTGAGGCTATTGAGGGATCAACAAACCTAAAAGCAATACGATCCAGGACTTTGATGAAAGACTTGATACTTGTCTTGGACTAAATGACTGAAAACCCCTGAATTGTTGATGTTTAATTATGACATTTGTTGTTAATGTTTTTCACGCATTCAAAAAAATAAATAAATGAATAAAATAAATCCAGTGGGCAAATCGGAAGAGGTTCATCTATCTATCTATCTATCTATCTATCTATCTATCTATCTATCTATCTATCTATCTATCTGTCTGTCTGTCTGTCTGTCTGTCTGTCTGTCTGTCTGTCTGTCTGTCTGTCTGTCTGTCTGTCTGTCTGTCTGTCTGTCTGTCTGTCTGTCTGTCTGTCTGTCTGTCTGTCTATCTAATCTATCTATCTGTCTGTCTGTCTGTCTGTCTGTCTGTCTGTCTGTCTGTCTGTCTGTCTGTCTGTCTATCTATCTATCTATCTATCTATCTATCTATCTATCTATCTATCTATCTATCTATCTATCTATCTATCTATCTATCTATCTATCTATCTATCTATCTATTTATTTTTAAAGGACAATAGCATATACCATTTAACAGACAAAAACGTATAGATGCTAGGGGGAGGTAAGTATAAACAAAATATAAACATTAAAACTATACAAATATAAAAATTAAATACATAAAGATTACAAATTGTTTAAAGTGCATAGGGCTTTTATGTTTAGAACGTCTCTGATAACGTAATCGGTAATATATAACATTTTAGTCAACAAAACCATACATTTAAGTTTCTTATTAGTGAATTTACATTCATGATGTTATAATAATCAAGTTAATTCAATAAAAACATGTGTCCTCTTGGTTAGGATAGTCAGTAAAACCAAAGAGTACATTTTTTCATAACAATGATAAAGGTTTTAAACAATGAATAATATCATTAATACATTTTTGTACCTCACACCATAATCTAGCGGAGTATGTACAATACTAAAATAAATGTAAAGCAGTCTCCTCATATTTATTGCAAAAAGTACACATTATATCAATACCAGTTTAAAATGTATGTAAATAGTGTTTTGCTGGATAAAAAATAGAGCTCAACCAGGACCTCTGCTGGTGAAAGTGTGGGAAAGCAGGTAAAGCCTAGATGGCATACAGCTCACATCAATATGGATAAATACACACATAAAGATAGCATAATTTCTGACACTGTACAACAATAACTAATATGTTTACATCACTGTGAGGGTTGGGGTAGACGTTAATAAAATACAATGAATGGATAATTTAATAAATAATATC